GCCCCACCGCTCGGGCCGGCACGCTGCCTCGCCATGTCCGAGCCCGCTCCGGCGCCGACGTCTTCTGTTTGGGTGAGCGGGAGCTGTCCAGAAGGGCTCTGCCGCTCGCCGGGGCAGCCAACCTACCCTCCCGGAGCTGGGGCGGGGCCGCGCCCGACGGGCGCCGCGACCAGCCACTCCACGGCTGAACCTGCCCTGGGGGGCGGGCCTTCTTTGCGAAGCTGCCAATAGTCATGGAGGGGGCGGGGCCGTGCGTTTCACGTTTGGCTGACGGCTCGGTGCCTTTTTTTCCTCCTTTGCTACTGGAATCAAACGTCAAGGAGAGGGAGGGAGGAAGGGGAAGGGGTTGGTGGGGAGCGGGAGAGAGGCTGGAGTGCGAGCGAGGGAGAGAGATTATGTGAAAGATGCTGCGCTGTGTCCCTCCCGGGTAGCTGCGATCTGGGGAAAGGGGCATTGCTTCAGTCCCCTCCGCCTCACCTCAAAGCTTTTCTCCAGGCGAGTGAGTCGGGAGGAAAAGACTCCGCTACGTGCTGGTGTAAAAACAAACGCGCGTCGCCTAGCAAGCCACTTCCCCGGAGTCCCTAGCCGGGAGCCAGTAGTTCAGCCTTTTAAAAGGCAGGAGCTAATGTATTCTAATGCACGGTAAATTCCCGAGGCTGGGGCATTTATGTCTATGGGGCCGGAGGAACTCCAGCGCCTTCGCCGCCGCCTGCGAGCTGCGGCCGGCCAGCTGCCCCCGCTCGTCGCGGGCAGCGGTACTGCATGCAAAGTTAACACAATAACATCATTTAATTACCCGGCGAGCCCATAAATCTCCCAGTTATGAGGCTTCAGAAGGGCCCTGCTAGATTGCAAAACAAAAGTAGAATTCCAGGAGCTGCCGTTTCAAGGTGATCAAGTGCCTACTCCATCAGCGACTTGGAAAGAAAGGGGACAGTGTAGAACTGGTGGGGTGGGGGTGAGGAATGTTGCTGTTGCCCATAGTGAGCAAACTTCTTCTGGGGGCAGAAAGTATGCAAACCAGATGGGATGACACCCGCGGATATTCCCCCAACACACACACACACACACACACACACACACACACACACACACACACAGCTTCTCTCAATCCCAGGAGAGGAACCCCCCAGGTTGCGGGGGTGGGTAGTTGACCACGAGCCTCCGCTGACATCTGTATATTCAAACCGTGTTTCTGAAAAGACCAGCGCCCCGGCCAGCTCCAGAACGCTTGCCAGCCATAGCTTTAAAAAGTGCACCTTCGTCTTCCTAGAATTTCTGTCGTTTGGCAATCCCAGGTCGGAAGGTGGGAGTGGAGCTGGGGGAGAGAGGAGGTGGAGATTTCCGCGGCCTGGATGGGGGTCGAGGGGCGGTGGAAGACAGACACAGAGGCCAACACCCAGCGTAAAGCCAGAAAAGTAACAGATTCTTCCAAAGCAGGTTGCGCTTGTTTGCCTCTGAAGATTCAAGCTAGCTGAGGTTGCGCAGATGTTGCCTTTGTTTAAAGAGACAGTAATTAAGGACAGGGTGGACATAAGTTTGAGAAGCGTGACCTATTTTCTTTTGATCAGCTGTCAAAGGAAGAGCAGGGGGTCGAAGACAGCCCCCTCCACCACTTCCAGCTGTTAGAGAAAACTTGATAAGAAAACAAGGACACAGCCTAGAATGCTGTATGTGCCTTCTTGGCTCTAGAGAAAGGTTTAATTCATTTGGAAAACAATTCTTTTCTCAGTGACCTTTTTTGCTGCCCTCCTCTCTCTTCTAGCTTCAGAGCAAACCACCCCCATCCTGTCACATGAATGTACAGTGACGTTATTCATAGATCAACTTTATTGAGCTCTGGCCAATACATTGCCAATTATTCTTTCAAATAGCATCTTCTCTGTGATATCAAAGCCTGGGTAAGAAAGCAGCAGCAGATACCCTGTTTTGCCAGGCATACTTTTGTGGCTGCTCACGTCTTTAGTGTCACAACAGGAGACAGGTGAAATAACTGAATTTTTTGTTTCTTTGGTTTTTCTCTCGTCCTCACCTGTGTCCCTCTTCCCACTCTCTACCTTGTATATGGTGGCAGGACACTTGGGATAATTTGAATCAGTTAATGTTTGAAATACACATTGAGTTGAACAAAAGTTCACAAAAGTGCAACCTGGTCTTGGTCCATGAGTGTTCAATGACCGAAATGCCGCCGGAGTGGAGCAGAACTGGGAAATAGTCAGTCTGATGTGCCCTGGTGCTAAAGGTAGCCTCGGTGCCCTGGCTTCAGACTCAAGAGTGACCAGTGACCCTAAGCTGGCGCTGCCTCCATACAGAAAGCTAAGTATATAAATTGCCATTTAAATAATTTTTCAAAATGATAAACTCATTTGCCAGGCCACCAAGATAAATCTGCTCCTGGGAATTGCATTTCAGTGTGCCTGGGAGCAGAAAGGTGAGTTGCTTTTTCTCACTGCCTCGCTTCCTTCCTTCCTCCCTCCCCCCTCCCTCTCTTCCACCATCCCTCCCTCCTTCCCTCGATCAATATTGGCGATCTCAGGGAAATCATGAAATCGTATTGGCTTCTTTGTGTATAATTTCATTGGGCTAGATTAAAGCAGATTTTTCATGTTGTTTTTCTAATGGTGGTTTGAGGTTTCACGTTTCAACCCAAAACCCATTTAAAAGGACAATGAATGTGCTTGTTTAGTGAGCCCCCCAATTTTCACTGAATTAGGTTTGGATACCCTTTTCCTTTTCTTTCTAAAAAGGAAAAATATTTATTTTCTACTTCAAGGTAATTTTAAGAATATCAATACTAAAAGATTTTCAAATATGTTTTTAAATGTTTTTGATACTTCTTTCTCTAAATTCTTTTAAGAAAATAAAAAGGAAGAGTTGCTTTTTAACTGCCCCTTGTTTAGCATCCGTACTCTAACCTTCAGAAGTTCTGCAACTCAGATTTTTAAAAATTTGAAGTTATACCCCCATTCTCTGCCCACTCCCCAGCATTTGATTTACAAATAGACTGTATAGAAATGTGGTATCCTAAGTGCTAGTTCATGACTATTAGAACCTGGACAGTGCACCAAGCATTATATCAGTACCAGCATATACACTTCTTAGCATAGCACATCTGCACACTTTTATTTACGATCAGAAACTTAAATAGGGCCAAAAAAAAAGCATGAAAATAAAATGCAGCTTCGACAACAAACAAAGGCTATTGCAACGTAAAAGAAAAAACACTGAACTTGAGTTAGCAATTGCAGGAAAAGACTGAAAATATTTACTGTCAGAATTTTTCATAAGTGTTTATCACGTTAAAATTGTTTTTAGGCAGAGAGAGAGGATTATTCAATTAAAACAGAGACTTTATAAATTATTCACGAAAAAAATAAACAGACCACAAGTAAAACCAATCTGGATAAGGGGCCCAACAGCTTTGTTTTTACTAAACGACAGTAATCACAACCCAAATCTAGGGAAGGGGGGGCTGCTTATTTCTACCCCAGTGCTCAAAATCTCTCCAGGTTTTGTGTTGGGCAGAACACATTTGTGCTATGAGTAGGTTTCTCAGAGCAATACAAAAAGACATAATGGTGGGTTGATTTGGACTATTTTATTTTTGTCCTTCCCCAAACCATCTGGCGTGTGAGTGTAGGGGTATTGATCAGGATCTGTGAGCTGCAGACCCCATGCCAATCCATAGCGTTTCTGGCAATCAGCGTCGCCCATGAATTGCAGCTGTCTGTACAGCTCCCGAACAGAAATCTTCAAAAAAAGTCCCCCCCTTATCAAACACATCATCGGTTCGGGGGTAAGTCAATATCATTTCTTTGTCATTCTGCGAGCGAGGATTATGTGGGAGAAAGTTTTTGTTGTCTGTTGTAGCTGCTGCTGCGCCGGCCTTTTTTTTTTTTTTTAAAGGAAGGAGAGCAATTTTCTAGCCATTGAATGGTAATGGTTTTCCAGAAAGGCCTCAAGCGTTTGCATGAATCGGACAACAAATGCTGTTTCAATATTGTGGGGGAATTTTAAGATGAGAAAGAAATTCTTATGTGGCTATACACAAATAATAGTAGTGATTATACGGGGCTCTTTTTCACGAGAATTTTCTCCCCTTTCCTCGGAGTCTCTGGTGATGAAGACGCCGCAAATCTCTGTGATCACACGTGCAGATGGACGGTGGGTGCTTGTGGCGGAAAAGGAGCCTTCGGAATTGTGGCTGTGTTTGAGATCTCCATTAGCTTTAATTTTCTTCTGTCTGAAAGCTCGGGCTGATTGAGCACAGGGAGAAGAAAACTAAAAACCGAAGCCCAGTTCCGCTAACTCTCGTCGGCCTCTCAGCTCAGAAATTCACCGACACTTGTCGGGTTCCCACCAGGATCTAGAAAAGTTTTTTAAAAAAAGTTTTCTGGGTGGTGAGGCTCAACGGGTCCTTTTTCTTCTCCTTCCCTCTCTCCGTTGAGCTTGTTAAAATACCAAACGCCAGGTTAGCAGAGCTTGCAGAGACTGCTCCTAACTTTTTGGTTGACGAAATTTACTTTGCGTGTAGGTGGAGAGAGATATGGGGTTGTTAGTCTTGTTCTCACCCT